GGGAAATGGCATTTGAAGGCCGATTTTGTGGGTATAAATACCCCTCCCCATGCGACGTCGTTTTGGGAAGGTGAGCTTCTGCAATTTTAATTTGTGGGTAAATTACACCCGCAATCCCTGTAAGTTGTATTTTTTATATTTTAGCCATTGAATTTAATTTTCAGTATTTTAATTTGGATCTCAAATTTATTATTTTTACATTTTGGTCCCTAATTTATGTTTTATTCGAAAATAGCCCAGGAATTTATGCATGTTTTAATTTAGCCACTTTTTATTTTTCTTTTTTTATTTAGCCACTGTGATTTTAATTTTTGTATTTTCATACTTTTTTATCTATTTATTTTTCGATTTTTTTGTTAGTATTTATTTTCTTAACATTTTCCTATTTTATTTTTTTATTTTAACCTTTTTATTTTTTTGTCTAAATTTTATTTTTATTTTATTTTTTAAATGATTATCTTTTTCCTCTTCATATTGTTTTTATTTCATTGCTTTTAAAATTTAACTTTTTTCCTGATTTATTTAATTTTTCCTTTAAATTTATTTATTTATTTATTTTTGTCCTATTTCATTGTTTTTCCTTTGACTTACTATTATTTTCTTATTTATGTTTTTCTTTAATTTATTTAATATTTTATTTAATATTTTATTTATTTGTTTTGGTTTTTTTATTTTTTTTATTTTTCCCCTTGATTTATTATTATTATTTTCTTTGATTTATTTAATATTTATTTACTTATTTTTTTATCTAACATTTTTTATTTTTTAGAAGAATTTCCAACCAATTAAAGGTAAGTAATTCGAATCGGGTCTTTTAAATTTTAATTTTAATTTCAAATTTTCGCAATTAAGACAACCGACAAATTAAATGGTAACAAAAGGGCAGTTCAAGGGTGTTAATCCTTCCTTGACTGTAACCGACTCCCGAATCTAATATATTTCTAGTAAAACGCAGATTATGTAAGAAGGTATCCGATCAACCTAAATATTTTTTAAATGATCGGTGGCGACTCTAACCCACTTATTTAAGTCGAAGCCCAATTCTGGGCCCAACCGAAAGACGATCGTGATAGTTGTATATTTGAGTTTTTGTTTTATTTGAAAGTCTTTCGATTCTTTAATGAAAATTAACCTTCATTTTGAACAGTGGTATTTATTCGTATTTTCTATTTTTTGAGTAATTTGATTGAATTTTTAACTTTTTTAATATATGATCACTATTTTCATTATTTAGTAACTATTTTATACTCTCTCGTAATTTTAGGAGAAATTATATAAATCTATTTCAATATTTGTAATTTTTATAATTATAAATTTATTATTTATTTAATAATATTAATTATTTTTCTTGGTTAAAAAAATATAAATACACAAACTTGTTTATTAAAATTCACACTCCATCTAGAAAAATAGAGAATAATTTCAAAGTTGGTCCACGTACTCACTTGAAGACCAATAAAATTTCATTGTTTCTGAATGATGTATTAAAAGAATTGATTCAATTTTTTTAAATCCACGTATTTTCATTTTAACAATTAAGAAAAAAAATCACAACGGATGGAATAATTCTAGCAAGGTAAGAATATCATATAATCTATCAAAAGATTTATTTTTTTTATAAATGAAATAATACAATTTTTTTGTGTTGCCCTCTCAATTGTTCATGATTTTGTTCTAATTAATCCATATCGAAGCTTTTCTATATAAACAAAACCTCAAACTTAAAATCTACTTAAACAATATTAAATTAATTACGACTTAAATCAAATCTTATTTATAAATAATACACTTTAATCCAACAATAATATCACCGAAACGGATTTTCCCAAACATTACCCTCAATTTAATCCAAGTCCGTACCACCCACCGTGGGATCAACCTACATGGCATTATCTAATTAGCCAGAACTAGGCGCATTCGCTTACACTTCCCAGATCCCCGTTACGGCGCCGTCAAACTCCCCCGTTACAGATTCCCCATTGCTGTTAAATGGACCAACGTCACCCCCAACTACCCCCCTTTAATACCGCAAATCGAATCCTCACCGTTCAAACCATTCATCCCGTCTCTCTCTTCATCATCACCATATCATTTCATCAAAAACTAACAAAAACAAGAAAACGAAAGCTCAAAACCAACCAAAAAACGAGTTATCTATCTCGCTCTCCAACTCTAACAAACAGATCAATCTTTTTTCTTTTCGTTATAAGATATGAGGAGAAAGTGTAGAAAAAGCGGAGAAATTACAGTTATGGAACTATCCGACGTCGCACTTCAAACGCCAGCCATGGCGACAACCGGAACAACTCGGAAGAAACGCAGGAGGTTTAAAGGCGATGGAAATTCAGAATTTAGAGTCGCTTCTTCTACGAACTCAATGACGTCGAGAAGCCGGAGAATTTTGTTGGATCATCGTCGACTTGACGAAAGTCAATGTTTGAGCCCTAACTTGGATCCTGATGATGATATGTCATGCTGTTCAAGCAGTATCGGATCAAGTGAGAAAAAGATTATCCAATTGCCAGATCTGGAGGTATATTTATATTATCATTAAAAATATTTGAAATGATTTTCTTTATGAATCGGAGGAAATTCGGTTTCTTCAGCTCTAATTACTGTTACTTAATTCGAGAATTTTCAAAATTTTGCAGGGTGAGAGCATTGAAGTTGAAGCATCCACGCATTTAAACTTCAGAGAAAGGTCTGTATAATTATCGCTTATATAATTAGGAACAAAATTTGTTACGACTTTTTATTTTATTTTAGCAGTACTATTTAACTTACTGTAAATTACTTTGTCCCGTCACTTGAATTTTGAATTTCAAAAAGCAGCCGATTGGTTAAATTTTTAAAAAAATTTATTTTCCGTTTTAAATTATCTTTTTCTTTGTGTATATATACATCTTCTATCAAATCATTTCGTTCTTCTCCGTCTCATTGGTGAATTCTAGCAGGAGAGAAACGACACCGTCGAGTGAGCCAGAAGACCTGGATTCAACGTCGAGGCCATCAGAGGCGAACTCTCGCCGTAGATCAACGGTGGAGAAGATGCCAACTGAAGCTGAACTTGAAGAATTCTTTGCTGCTGCTGAAAAAAAAGTTAAAAAACAGTTCGCTAAAAAGTATGTTCATTCATGCACATTCTCGTTAAAACCTAGACTTTTCTTTTCTGCCGTTTCAATTTTCTTAGGAACCAAACGGCAATTCCAATTTTTAAACTGAAAAAGAATCTTTTTTCCCTTTCTGTTTACTGTTTTTAGGTATAACTATGATATTGTCAAGGACGAACCGTTGGAAGGACGTTACCAGTGGGTTCGACTCAAACCATGAAAGGGAAAAAGGCGAAAATCAAACCAGAAGACAGAGAAAAAGAAAGGAGTAATTTATTTAGATGAAGAAAAAGAAAAAATCAACCAGGCGCTGTTTCTCATAGGTACTACTACTGATTTAAAATTCTACTCGTTTCTAAATTTCTAGGGTTTTTATTTTATGTACAGAATGAGTAATAACGAAGAAAAGATAATTGGTCTATTATTATTAATATACATGGGTGAAATTCAGCTTGGAGAAGAACAAAAAAATTTTGGGGTGGGGGGGGGGGACAGTTATTGAACCACGAAATTCCGTATATTCATGCTAATTTTAGGGAATTTTTAACCCTAAATTCTGTGCCTTTCTTCAGAATCTGCTAATGTATGCTGCTTCTGATCTCTTTGGTACGCGCCCCCCTCCGCTTCTTTTCGTCAGCTTCTAATGATTTGATTTCTGAATTAATCTATTTTAGTTCATTATTTTTTTTACGGAGTAACATTAACTGCAAAAATCTTTCTTTTTTTAAAAAGAAAATCTTAATATTTTTTATATTTGAAAATGTATTAAATATATAATATATTAATTTAAACATGAAAAACGAAGTAAAAACTTAAAAAGAAATCACATCATGCTTTTTTTATATATTACATGGCTGTTTTATTGTTTATGTGTAGAAATTGTGATAATTTATAATTATCTCTTTCGATTATATTATTTCTAAAATTTTAATTTAATTTTTTTTGAAAATATAATGTGTCATGACACTACGTTTAACGTCTCTTACTTAATGTGTATTTTGCTAATTAACGTGTATTTGTTCATATATATATATATATTTATTCAGTTGATCAAATTGTTCATATTTGTTTCTTCATATATATTTTCTTATATCATGGATTCTAAACTTACTAGAATCATTCTCTTTCCTTCCCCTAAAATTTTTCTTTTCACTCTCCTCTAAATATGAATAGTATTAAATTTAAAATTTGTAAAAAAAAACCATTACGTAGATTATAAAAATGGAAACGGAATCTATATTTTCTTTGTTACATTTGATATAAAGGATGAAAATAAAAATAAACAAGAAATTTGTAAAAATATGGAAAAAGATAAAGTTTGGGATCGAAGCAGCGGCTATGAATGATGGAAATTCATGGAAATGCGTGGGTTCTTTCTTGGATTGAAATATTAATGGAAAGCGGGCGATTTAATACGCAACTATTCCTCTTGGATCTGCTGCCCTCCCCCGACACACACTCCATTTCTCCGCTTTCTATCCTTCCAATTCTCTTTACATTGTTTCTTTCTCATATTCCTTCTTAATCAAATTTTCAATAATTTCAAATACACCATAAACTTCTCAACATTCTTTAATGTCTTTTCAATTTACCAATTATTTTTATTATATTATATTAATACTAAATTATTAAACTTATTGAAAGTCTTAAATGATAAAAAATAATATTATTCTCCCTAAAATAATCTGAATATAAATAGCTGTGTTTATAAGATGTGTGTAAGTTATTAATGATTAAGAGCGATTATATATTATCTTATAATTATATAGACTATTTAAAAAAATATAAATTATAATTAAAACAATTTTGAATGAAATTTAATGAAAAATGCATGTCTAACATTTTTTTCAAATAAAGAAAATTGAGTATAAATTATACATGGCAATGCAATGACTGTAAAGTTATAGTCCTATACTTGTTCATGGCTTGAGTTTGATTTCAAGTAATTACATAAAGGAATGCCCTGTTTTTCCGAAGCATGTGCAATCAAATCCTTCACAACTTGGCGAAATCTCCTTCTATAAGTTGGCAATTTTGACATACTTCTCGCCATTCCAATCATCCTGTCATTTCACAATTACAATTAAGATTTCGAGAAAAATTTAAACAAAATTAATCAAATAATATTTTTTAAAAATATTATATAATGATGTTAAAAAATATTTTTCTACAATGTCTCATAAAAGAAGTCTGAAAGATCCGATGATTTCTGGAACATTCATAAGACCATACCACTTCTCTAAGCTCCATACATGCCCACAAACTACATCTTTTCAAATGACAATAAAGTTATCGTATCTTTTGAGCGTCTTCTAAAAATCATTGAATCTTCTGGACGTCTTCTATGTGACATTATAACATTCACACTAGATAAAATGATAATTTTTTATCACCTTATACGAGAAAATCTTTTCTCCCAAATTATTATTTGGCACTTTTTTTTTAAAAAAAAAAGTTGAGTATAAAATAGAAGCTCTTATATGAGTGGATAAATAATGAGTTTCAAACCTTCTATTTATGCCTTCAATTTGAGCAGCTCTGAGAGAATCTTGAGTGACCGAACTACCATTATCCCAAGCATCCATGCGTTGTGTATTGGTGCCAAAAAGAACCATCTTCTCCAACAGCTTGACTTCGTTGTCTCCGAGCTTTATAACCCTGATTTGTTCTTTGAGGACCATGATTGGGTTAAAGAACCAGTCTAGTATCCTGTCTTTTGGTCGGTTCAGATGGTTGATCTCAACATCATCGAGCATTAGCAAATCATTAGAGCCTGATCTGATGGAAGTGAGGAGTGTCTGCAAGAAACTGTAACAGGGGAGACCAATATCGATAATGGCTGCTTCGTTACCATTCTTTGCCTTCAACCATTCTAACAGATCTAATGAAGTTAACCACCATTCTAACAGATTTAATGAAGTTATTACTTCAGCTTCCAATTGTTCCTTTCCCCTTATTGTTAGGACTGTCGGCGCACCCCATGGCGCAGAGGAAACAAAACTCGACGGTCTCACCAGCAATCCAAGTACGAAAAACTGAAATCGAGAGGAAGAGATGCGAATACTTACAGCGGGTTCCTTGAAAAACAGCAAGGAAAGCAGTGAATTCTGATGGTGTAGATCGGTTCGAATCGTAAGCCTCCACGAAATCACGTATCGGCCTCTACTCAATTCACCCAATTGAGAGCAATTTTGTTTTCCCCTAAAACAGTTTTGAGAGAAAGTGGCTGAAGGTTTTGCGTGTGTTCTCTCTAAAATGCTGCTAGACCTAACACACCCTTTTATAGCCAAGTTACCCTAGTCATATTAGGGTTTTTATTATTTCAAATTAATTAAATCTATATTTAATTAATTAGAATTTAATAATCCTTTTATATCCAAGTTACCCTAATCATATCAGGGATTTTATTATTTCAAATTAATTAAATCTATATTTAATTAATTGGAATTAAATATTCGGGATTACTAAAATATATATACTTAATTAACTTTAGATATATTTTAGTAACGTACAACAAATTGTATATTTTTGCTCGTTTCAATCTTAGGGTGTGACCCTATAGGTTATTGTAACATTAGAAGTAATTATTAGAACAATTCTAATATTACATACAATGAGTGACATCTAGCAATATATCATTGTCACCTAAGTTACAAGAAAATATGATTCGATATATCATCTTGGTGATTAACTCTTTTATGTATTATATCCTTATATCATTTATATCTAGAATAGGCACAAGTCTTGGAATAGTCACACTTGTATAGTCCATCTATTGTTTCTTGATTTCTAGAGTAGACTTTAATTAACGAATAATTTATGATATCCCATATCAACTTATTCGAGCATGGCCATGCGTTTCTAGTCTTACTCAATCAAGTGACCTATGATATATTTCCTATCATGTAGGAAGGACATATCCTATCTTAAGCATACACACCCACTACTTTTATTGAGATATATTCAATAACAGTCTTTATAGAGCAACCAGTTACGGAGCTTGTTTAGCTGCATCAAAACATACAACAATATATGTTGGGATAGTATTGATCTCAAGTCTGAGGATCATACATATAGTCATCACCATGAGCAATGTTATGACTATCACATAATAATTCAAGACATATGCTCATGGTGGGTCAATCCAATATATTGTTCTCTAACAATATAATCATGTATTAATTCTGACATCTCTATGTCAATGATAACTCGTTGTCATCAATCAATAACATGTTAGTCTTGAGCGTATTATTATTGTTCATGCCCATAATAATACTTGACTAGGGATCTTTTAATAATAACAATTATGTCATTATATAGACTTTATTATCTTCCAGTTTATGTTAAACACATATATATAACTGAAAATAATAGCGGCAATGCCTTTATTCAATAAAATCGGTAAATAAAAGTATTATTACAATCATCATATGATTGGTCTTTGGGCATACTCTAACACTTATTTCACATGATTTCATTATATTCGTCCATACCTGAACAAAAATGATAAAAGGGAATGGTAAAAAAGAATGATTTTCATTATAATGTTTTTCTTAAAGATTCCAATTCAAGTAGTTGCGTTTTTAAGGTATGTGTACATATTGTTAACTGACTAAGAAATATTATAAATAAATATTTATTTTGTAATCACTTAATCTATTAAAAAAAAGTTTAATGCCATAATTATTTAGCCGAATCAAACAACTGTTGAAACCAAATCTTTGTCACGTTTATGGGGGATTTTCCAAACCAAAGCTAACCACTATAAACTTTTTAACTGTACAACCCAACATGTTTCATTAAGCAAGTTGCAGCAATTAAAGTATTGTTAATCCAATTGCAGAAATGAACAAACAAACAAAATCAAATTGTATAGAAGGCCCCTATAGTATAAAATTTTGAGAAAGCAACCAACCTGAACCATTCTGACTTCCTTGATTGCTTCTCTAACTGATACAGAACGAGCTAAGGTGGGCATAAGCGTTGCAGGTGGTTCACCCGATGTTGAACTGTATCTCCCACCCAGTCCTCCTACTGAATACTCTATTTCTGACCCTTTTTTCTTTCTATATGAAGGCCTGGCTGTGAAATCAGTCACTTAGATTTCAAACCATAAAAAATAGGGAAAACAACGTATTTAGTTACTCAACTATTCTCGCGGTTTCTTTTTGATCACCCAACTATTTTTTTTAAATATACTTTAAGTTACGTTTTGGTTCCATTAGTCACCCGTCAAAAAATTAACGGTGATGATGACTTGTCCCATTAAGATAATGCCACACCATCATTGATTATTTTTAAATGTCCCATTGGTATTTCTGTTAGTTTTTTAACCAAGAGTGATCAAAATAGAAGCACAAAATAGTTCGATGACTAAATACGTAGTTAGCACAGAAAAATATGCAGACCCAAATGTTGAAAATTACTAGGAACCTTCCCTGAGATAAAGCCAATCATTTGTGTACTCATCAAATTCAGCAACCATTGCAATCACATACGCAACCCCTCTCTTGAATGATCTTTCCTGCAAAAATGCAACCACAAATATTCGCTTAACATATGCTCAAATATCAAATTCAAGACGTTTGTTATCGTCAGTGACCTGATACACGACGACCGATCCGTACAATCCGATGAAGAAGCTCGAAAATATAGCCATTAATATGCTCCCGACAACGACGATCGGCCACAAGAGGATTGTCAAACCAGCAACGGGGATGCATACTGTTTCAAGGAATGGTCCTTCTCTGCTAATTAGATCATGCGTTAGTCTAAACCAACCCTTAAATAACATGTAGGGGCTCTTAACTATGGCGATTACAGTGTAAAAGGGAATATCCACGATTAGTCCCAACAATCCGACGACGATAAGCCCCGGCAACCTGCAAGACGGATTCCAAACGATTTGTTAACCGCGATAAACGTGACTCGACCGCAATCTAAATCCATTAATATCAGTATAAAAAGCATTACCGTAGAGTTTGGAGGTCATTGGAGACGGGATTCACGTAGTTCCTTGGATATGAATGGAAACATAAATCATAGAAATCTGACCACAGTGCAACTTCCTTTGACAGTGTCCCATGTTCCATCCTGATCAGGTAATAAAAATTGAACCATGATCAACCAGTGCTGTATGGAAACAGATCAGATTTTCAGGCAAGAAGACAGAAATACTATAAATTACCACAACACAATGAAAGAATCTCTTGGACTCGTTGTCATGTCTGAAGGCTTCAAAAGATGAAACCCAAGGAGTGAAGAAGCCATAGAAAACCCCAAAAATAACAGTTCCAGCTATGCTTAAAGCCAACCATATACCGAATTGTCGCGGCCGTCTTTCGGTTGAGCCCGAAATTGGGCTTCGACTTGAAATAAGCGGGTTAGAGTCGTCACCGACCATTTTAAAATGAATTTAGGTGGGTCGGACACCACCTTACCTGATCTGCTTTTTATCATAAATGTGTCCGGTTCGAGAGTCGGTTACGGTCAAGGAAGGATTAACACTCTTGGACCGTCCTTTCGATACCAATTAATTTGCCGATTGTCATTAATTGCGAAAAAAAAATTTAATTAAAATTTCAAACATTCGATTCGAATTGTTTACCTTTGCTCAATTGGAATTTATCTACAAAGTTAAGAATGTTAAAGAAAATAAATAAATCAATCAATCAAAAAAAGAAAGAAAAATTAAAAATAAAAAAATAGAAAAAAAAGAAAAAAAGAAATTATAAACAATTTAAATAAATAAATAAACAAACAAACAAAAAACAAATCAAAGGAAAAATAAAATACAAATAAAAAATAATAAAAATATTAAATAAACCAAAAAATATATATAAAATGGAATAAAATAAAAGAAAAAAAATAAGAGGTAAATAATAATAATAAATATACATATGAAAAAATGATAAAAACATATATACGAAATTGGAAATAATAAATAAATAAAACACGAAAAATAAAAAGAGGACTAATTTAAAAGAAAATGAAATTAGGGGATAAAATTAAAAGTAAAATCATGGTTAAATTTGAATTAAAGATCCAAAATGAATTCTTACAAATAATAAGGACCTAAAAAACAATTTTGCCCTTTTAACCTAGAAAACACGCGGATCCTTTCTTTAGGTCTGGTCGAACCACAGGTCCAACAGGTCACCCAAAGGGTCGTATATAAGTAAAAAAAATGCCTAAATCCCATTCATTTTTCCCTCTTTCTCAGAATAACCTCTCACCCTTTCTCTGAAATCCTCTCAAGCTATAACCAGTCGACCGATGGTCGGCGCCTTTCCCGGTCTTTCCCCACCGCATCGTCGCCACTCAGGCCGCCACCATCAGCGGTCGGAAAACCCCATAATTTCCCCAAATATCCCTTTTTACCCCGAGAACTCGATCTATCCTCGAAAAACCAAAATGAGGTCTAGATAAGAGTATATCTATATCCAAAGCTTCGATCTTTACCTTCTCCGACGCGACCCTTCGTTTCCCAACGCAACCTCCGACGAAAGCCTTCGATTTTTTATGATATCCTTCAAAACTTGTGTGCTTTTTGATCTCTTACTTGGTTTTGTCTGTATTTTGTGTGGATTTTGTTTCAATGGTTCGGTTTGATGATGGAGTTTTGGCTCTTGGTTGTGTTGGCTTTTTGATTTACTGTTGATGTTCGGTGATGTTCACTGTGGCTTTGTTTCTCGGTGTTGCTTGGTTTTTCTGTGTTTGTTGTCGATGGTTCTCGATTTACTTGTGGGTTCCGTCGATGATGTTGTTGTCCCGACTGTGTCTCACCGGGGGCTTTTTATAGCCCCAGTGTTGGTTGCTTGGTCCCGAAATGGTTGGGGTTTGTTGATCGTTCCGAGATCTTCGTGCATGTTATATCGGCCACCTCGGAATGGTTCAGTCCCGTTGGTGTGGCCGGAAAATACGCTGGTTGTTGGTTTGCTCCCTTGCGGCGCTGTTAACTAGTTATGTTTGGGTTTTTCAAACCCTAATGGACTTGGGCTGGTACATGCCCACTTAGCCGATGCTGGACCCGAACAGATTGGGGCTCTTGCCCGTTTTGGACATATAGGGCCATGAACTTGGACCTAGAAAAATAAATAAAAATAAATAAAATAAATAATAAAAATAAATATATATGATATATATTCTAAAAATATTTCCAAAAATTCAAAAACATTTTCAAACTATATATTATACAAATTTAAAAATGTTTTCAATATATATATATATATATATATATTCTAAAAATAGTTTTTAAAAACTATATATTATATGAGTTTTCAAAATGATTTTTAAAACCTATATATTATATATATGTTTTTAAAATGTTTTTAAAACTATATATTATATAAGTTTTCAAAAATGATTTTAAAAACTATATATTATATATATTTTCAAAAATGTTTTAAAAACTATATATTATATAGTTTTAAAAACTATATATTATATAGTTTTCAAAAATGTTTTAAAAACTATATATTATATATATTTTCAAAATGTTTTAAAAACTATATATTATATAGTTTTCAAAAATGTTTGAAAAACTATATATTATATATGTATTTTCAAAAACCATTTGCAAACTATATAATATGTATATATGTAAAAAATATATGGACGAAAATATGTGTATACAGCTGCCCTTCTTTGTCCTTTTTCGTGAAACGAAAAATAGGACAAAAATAAAAGGACACAAATTTTCGTTCGGTGGAGTTGAAAATTGATTTCAATTAAGAATAACTCCCTGTCGAATTGAGTTGCGGATGACTCCTCCGTTGCGAAGTCGAGTCCATCTTTAAATGATATAGAATTGAAGCCGTAATTCAAAATTTAAAATCGGAATGTATCTTCTTGTTGCCAAATTGCAATCAACTTCGGTCTTCTTCTCGGTTTAAAGACCTTGGTTTAAAAATCCGACTAGAAACTAGTTTCTTGACTCCACCATGTGGTTGATGTGTCGTCGAGCTTAATGTAATCGAACTCGACAATTTTTGTTGACAGATAGCTTTTCTCGACTTAGGCTATACTATAAATTTGATATGCCTTTGAGTTGAATGTAATCAAACTCGAATGTATTTTGTTGGCAAATAACCCTTCTAGCCTTGAGTTATGCTACGAATTTGATGTGTCTTTGAGCTGAGTGTAATCGAACTCGAAGGTATTTTGTTGGAAGATAAACCTTCTCGTCTTAAGCTATGCTGCAAATGATATGTCTTTGAGCTGAGTGTAATCGAACTCGAAGGTCTTTGTTTGCAGATAACCCTTCTCGCCTTGAGCTATGCTGCAAATGGTGTGCCTTTGAGCTGAGTGTAATCGAACTCGAAGGTCTTTGGTAGATAGCCCTTCTTGCCTTGAGTTATGTTGCAAATGATATGCCTTTGAGCTAAGTGTAATCGAACTCGAAGGTTTTTGGCAGATAGCCCTTCTTGTCTTGATCTATGCTGTAAATGATGTGCCTTTGAGCTGAGTGTAATCGAACTCGAAGGTATTTGGCAGATAACCCTTCTAGCCTTAAGTTATGCTGCAAATGATGTGCCTCTGAGCTGAGTGTAATCGAACTCGAAGGTCTTTGGCATAAAACCCTTCTTGCCTTGAGTTATGCTGCAAATGATGTGCCTTTTAGCTGAGTGTAATCGAACTCGAAGGTCTTTGGCAGATAGCCCTTCTTGTCTTGAGCTATACTGCAAATGATGCGCCTTTGAGCTAAATGGAATCGAACTCGAAGGTCTTTGGCAGATAACCCTTCTAGCCTTGAGTTATGCTGCAAATGATGTGCCTCTGAGCTGAGTGTAATCGAACTCGACGGTCTTTGGCAGATAGCCCTTTTTACCTTGAGTTATACTGCAAATGATGTGCCTTTTAGCTGAGTGGAATCGAACTCAAAGGTCTTTGGCAGATAACCCTTCTAGCCTTGAGTTATGCTGCAAATGGTGTGCCTTTGAGCTGAGTGTAATCGAACTCGAAGGTCTTTGGCAGATAGCCCTTCTTTCCTTGAGCTATGATGTAAATGGTGTGCCTTTGAGCTGAATTTAATCGAACTCGAAGGTCTTGGCTGACAGATAACCCTTCTTGCCTTGAGTTATGCTGCCAATAGTTTCTTTTAAAAAATGGTTTCCCTTCACGGGTCTAAGCAGTTATAATTCTTTATGTGGTTCCTCTAAGTTGGTCTGAACCAAGTGATATGATTTTTGGATGACTCCCATTCACGGGAAAGCCCACTGATAAATTCTGTCAGCTGGATATCTTCCGTCGTGGAATTGAAATCTGGTTTGAAAATGTTAACTGGAAACCTGCTACTCATTATTGAGTTAAGCTGATCTGGATTCATTCTGAATTGGCTCTCGAACCCATCTGAAATTGATTATGAGATCTGTAGATATGTCAAGTCGGTTGAGGTGTAGCTTCTCAGTGTTGAGTCAAGCAACCACCATCAATCTTTAAAGGAGCTTTCGAATCGAGTATCTTTCGTCTTGAAGTCGTAACTTGACTCTAAAGTTGCAAAAAAAATATGTATGTGAAAAAAATAATAAATGTGATGCTCTTAAGTATGCCTAAGATGTATGCAACATGAATTGGCTCTGTTTTATCTCCTGGATGGAGCCTCATTTTGTATGTCGGTCTTGTACTCGGAATCGACCATGCCCCATTTCTTTCTCGGGTTGTAGCCTTTAACATTTGAGACTATCCTGTTTGAAAATGTTTTTCTCCTTTCTCTTATTTTAGGAGGGAAAATGATATGAGCATATAAAAATTCTGTAAAATATTGTTCCTTAATTCAGGCTCGCAATCAAATCAAATTATAAACATGAGTTCAAAGAAAATCAAAAGAATCAATAATTCTTTCATGATTTCAGAGTTATAGTTCTTTTACAATTATGAGTTGGTTTTAGACTGGCCTCTTATTTTCTAAGGTTTCAGCCATAAAAAAATGTTATTTCTTGGTCATTGCAATATGCCCCCTTTTTGGGTTGGAATTTTAATTGAACGTGGACAAAATGACACAACTAGCATGATCAATTACTAGACCTTCTATTTCGGTCCTCTGAAATCTTCCATTTGTTCAAGCTTTGTAAGCTCCTCTGATAAAGGTAGTGCAAAAATATCGGTCTAAAAATGAAATTTTTGAGTGCTCATGTGAATTTGACTATGATAGGTGTTTCTTAACTTCCTTAGTTTATTTTTACCGAAACTCATTATTTAAATTTGCTATTGTCTGACTAGCTGAATCTATAAAGTCGGGGCGTTTAACCAATTATTCTAGAGGGACAACTTAATATCATTGTATAGATATTATAATCACCTTTATCAAGCTAGCTGAATATTATCC